GTGTTGATTGTCACCATTGTTGAGATTCATATGCTGGTTCTTGATGTCTGCGTGTGACTAAATAGTATAAGAGCTCAAATATTTATATGCATTACATACATTTAAGATTCATTCAACAACTATTAGAGCAACACTTTAATTGCATGCAATAGTTTCACAGAGTTGGTTACTCAAAATCTGAACTTAAAAAAAAAAAAGTTAGTTTGGATGTAAACAGGTCAGTGTCTGATGATTACTGCATCACATGGAAACAGCTAACAGCTACTCACTGCACAGCACTGATTTCACTGCTTTATAACAATACTAGCAGTGTTACACAGAGAAATTTATCATAAGAAGTCAAGGGTCAAGAGCCCAACTAAAGCAAACACTGAGCGCGAATTAAAAGCTAGGACAAAACAGCTTACACACACGTTATGCTTTTAACTCACTTGAACAAATATTGTGGAGATGTCTCTCTGATTGACTGACATTCAGCAGTTGCAAAACAGTCTTATTAAATACCGTAATGCTTAAATATTGCAATGACAAACTATATCGCTCAGGCTTTTAGACATGAACACTTACCATATGATCCTCAACAGTGGTGACAACAATTATTCATACTGCAGTGCATGATGGGAGTTTTTACTATGGTGTTACCCAGCATGCATTGCAGCATGAAGCATTTTGTTGATTGTCACCATTGTTGAGATTCATATGCTGGTTCTTGATGTCTGCGTGTGACTAAATAGTACAAGAGCTCAAATATTTATATGCATTACATAGATTTAAGATTCAGTCAACAGCTATTAGAGCAACACTTTAATTTCATGCAATAGTTCCACAGAGTTGGTTACTCAAAATCTTAACTTAAAAAAAAAAAGTTAGTTTGGATGTAAACAGGTCAGTGTCTGATGATTACTGCATCACATGTAAACAGCTAACAGCTACTCACTGCACAGCACTGATCTCACTGCTTTATAACAACACATGCAGTGTTACACAGAGAGACTTATCAGAAGTCAAGGGTCAAGAGTCCAACTAAAGCAAACACTGATCTCCATGATGGTGACATAATTTCACTTCCTGTTTTTCCCTGCTTGAGAATTTCTGTCCAATGAATGGATGACCTTGGCACACGTGTGGTTTTGTTTACAATTTCTGGTTCACTTGCAAAAAAGGGCAGTGCAAAAGCGAACCGCACCAAACCAAAAAAAAATAAAAAATCAACATTGTATTTGGTCTGGACCAAAGCAAGTGAACTAGCAGACTTTC